TTTACGGTGGCTACATGTTGACACTAGGACATTGAATCTACATTCTACACTGTTCTTCAATCCTCAACAACCAGACGTCCTCCAGCTTGGGCCACCAGGTCAGACTGTAAGATCAGCGGTACTTCCTTCACGTGCGCCAAGAACCCAGGTTGTGGCCATGCCGCAGCTGTGCGACTGCTTGTGGCGGCCAGTGCATCCTTTGATCTGACTGATGAGGAAGGCTACACCCCGCTGCAGTTTCGGCTGAGTTCGTAGGGACCACATGGGGAGGTAGATTTCGACGTTGAAACGGGCACCAGGGTACCAGGATGCAAGCACTGGGTATAGCAGGCAAAGATGCTGTAAATGGGCCAGGTCCGACCGAGAAACTGGAGTAAGACAGCAAGGCAGATCTAGATTATGTGGGAGCAGACCAAGGCTGTAGTAAAATGCAACGATGAAGATGATGAAGCCTCAATGCGAGAGTCGATTTGGGGTCGTTTTGTAAGTGGTGCCGCAGCTGCGACTACTGGAACCTTCATCGGGCTTGGACTCTTTGCTTGCGGGGTTATGTGAAGCTTAGACGGTTGTTGTGATTCTACATCGCCGAGCAAGAGCCATCTCACATCGCACCGCTTGCTGTGTAACGACTTGCCCGCTTCAAAAAGGGGGGAGCGTTGCTTGGCCCTGGCGGTATCCATGTGTCTTGCTGTTTTCTTAGGCACACTGCGGCTGTGAACAATCAGCCGGAAGCTGCACGCGCACTGCTGGAGGCATGTGGGGCTGGGATTTGGTAGATAGATGTTCTTGCTGACACCTTGGGTATTTGGGGGGCTGAGGTTTAGTGGTTCCATGCTGCGTAAGCCCCGTAATTTACCGTACGCAGAGCTCAATGCAAACTGGGTTCAAGATGTGTCAAGCCAGGGTAGCGCAGAGCCAACTAAGTCGTGCAACATCGCATGGATTTCTACGAAGATGTTGACATCATGAGTGAAGAGACGCATCGAGCGGTGGTATGTAGCTTTTGAGAGGTGGTTTCACGCTCAGTGGTGGTCTTGTATGACACTGCAAGTTTTGGGATGACGAGGTGTGATCTTGTGATATCTTGTGGCAAGCTGCATGGTGTCTGAAAGGTTTTGGGCTTGGGATTCGATCATATGTCTGCTACGGCCTGGTGTTGACTGCCTATATATATCGAACCGATAGCTACTGCATCGCTTGGCAGCATCCGGGCAGGACGTGCTCCGGTGCAAGCTTCTTGTGATGTTGTCGGGTCCCGTTCCATTCTGGGCTCTCAAAAAAAATGACACTAAACATTTCAGCAACGGGGCTGAAGTAACTACATAGCAATAGCACCCCGGTTCCTTATGGCAAGAACCGACAAGATCCCGCCCACCCAGCCCTCCCCTCCCAAACCCTACGCTAATCTCTCGCGCCCCTATGTTACACACTACCCCTGCCATGCAGGCTCCGTTTCGCCAGGCAGGAGCTAAACCCTGAACCCTGGACGAGTTGCCCTGCGATGCAGGGCTCGTCTTTGCTAAGGAGGGGAAACAACATACACCGTTTTTCTTACCTTTGGTTAGCAGGGAATGGAGGAATGGGGTGCAATTATAACTACTATTACTACCATTCTTCCATTCCCTACTAACCAAAGGTAAGGCTAAGGAGGGGAAACAACATAACATAGGGGCCTTAATAATTACTGTTGTGGGGGTTCCTTATTATAATTATAGTATCATGGGCCCCAAAACCCTAGTCTAATTATTAAGGCCCCCATATTATATCCTTATAATAGCCCTTATAGTAGCCCTTATATATAGCCCTTTAAAGGAACCCTTAAATAATCCTGTAGTACGCCGCTTTTTTCAGGCCAAGGCTTCGCCGGACTACCCGACACAAAATGGCGCCTCCCCGCTCTACTTCGCGGCCAGGCGAGGAAGCCTCGAGGTGCGTCCTGCTTGGGTTTAGGGTTTAGGGTTTGGGGGTAATTTAGGATTTGGGGCTTGAAGAAGACTCCCAGTCAGGTTCCTTCATCTTCTGAGGGCTTGAGGGGTTATTTAGGATTCGGCGTCACCATCTGTCGCCATGAAGCTGATGCACTCTTCAATAAACTATGCAGACTATGCCTTCAAAAACAGCAAGCCCGCCTTTCCGTGTCTTGAAACAGCACGGTCGCTTGCATTCACTGATCAACAAGACCCTAAACCCCACTAAAAAGCAAACAAGGCAAGATGGACACAGCATGACGCAGCTTAGCATGGAGTCTTATCTGCATGAAGGTCGCCAGGGCACTTGTCGAGTTCGGAGCAGCAAAGGCGACGCGGCAGAGGGCTTAAAGGTTTTCAGGGTGAAGGATTTAATCGTCTTGGGGCTGTTTTCAAGCGTTCATAAGTCTTGTATGTTTGTCGGATTTATGCGAGGGTGCGGCCTGGACATGGGGTCGTCTAGTCGAATCAAACCCAAGTCCAGTGGTAATAGCATTCTGCGAGTCCCGGCTTTTCGCTTAAAGGCTTGGCACTCTGAAATGGCCAGCTTTTTGTAATAATTAAGGAACTGCAGGACCAAACCGGAGGAACGCGTAAGCCTGGCTTAGCACTTCACAACCGCAAGCTCTGGCTATTGGTTGAAAACTTGCAGGACCAGACGACACGTATGGGGATCACACCACTTTTTGTGGCGGCCTACTTTGGCAGATTCCACGTGGCTCAGTTCCTGGTCCAGGCCATGTCTAGCAGAGCTAGGCAGCTTGACATTCCTTTTGGGCCTGCGATCGGTGAGTTTCAGACTGTGAAGCCGGAACCGTAAGGTAGGCGGCACTAAACCCTGAACCGTACCCGAACAAGGTAGGAGGGAAAAAACGCCGAAGAACCAGCAAGCTGGGAGCTGGAGACTTTCCGAAGATGCAACGTTTTGAAGATAGAAACTCTGGAGAGCTTTTAGGAAGATGCGCCTGTCCAGGGTTTGGGGTGCGGGACAAAAGTCTTAAACGCGCATACCCACACATGATAACATGTGTTTGTACGTATGTATGTTTTTATGTATGTATGTACGTATGTGTGTGTATGTATGGGTGTGTTCACTTGTGTATGTGTATATATATATATATATGTGTGTGTGTATGTATATAGAATACATACACACACACAGATCCATAGTCATCCTGTATATATGTATGTACATACGTGAAGCATCTTTTGATTATAAAGCACATGCACACACATCTATAGTGATCCTGCATATATGTATATACATACGTGAAGCATCTTTGGTGATTATATAGCATAAATATTTCCGTGTGTGATCTCCTAATAGGCCAACTCATATTGGTCGTCATACTAACACGAAGAATCATAATTGTAGCAACCGTGATTGCAATTACAACCCATTTAATTTACATAGCAATAATAGCAAAAAATATACTGTTCCAGAAAAGTGAGGGAGATGCACCACCGCATTTCGCTTGCTTCTCTAGGCTGGTGCTGATCGGAGTCTACGTCCTTCTGAAAATCTAAAGCTTCAAGACCTATGGTCCGACGTTTGAGAGAGCCTTTTCAAATTTTCGTTGTCCAGCACACGTCACCAAAGTAAGTTACATAGTACATCTCATGGCCCAAAAGGCCGTTTCGAATTCAGGATGTTCCGGTCTTCGGTAGGCGGGTTTGTACAGCTGCACGAAGCTCAGCCTCGAGACCCTTTTGATAGTCTCCATCTGCTCTTTTCAGAGATTTGTTGGTGACCGACAGGGTGATGCCTTGTCCTGGTCCAACATACATTCCATGTGTTCCTACGCACCATCGCAGGGGAAGCGAAGATGAACGAGGCAATGAACAGGGAAGTGTTGCCGCTGCTGTTGAATAGCTCTCCTGCATGGTCCATCCCGGTGCCGATTCTTCTGGGATCCCGACAGCAAAGCAGGGATCATTTCAAAATCGTCTGATGATCGTTCTAAGACACGGTTCCTGTTTGGATTGGCTAGAAGAGCCTTATTAGAAAGACGGTCTTCGCTGGAACCGCGATTTAGAACAACCGCCTGAAAAATGCCCCGAGAGTCTCCTGCAGCCTCTACACAGGGCTCTGGTAAAGCAGTGGGTTTTGGGTTTAGGGTTTAGGGTTTAAAGGGAACTCCAGAAAGTTGGAATATGGTTTCAGGGTAGGATACCTTATAATTTACCATAAAAGGGCTTAGGATAATCATATTCCAACTTTCTGGCTTCTACTGTAAGCTATTTCAAGACGGATACACCGCCGTATCAAGTAGTACAGAACGGCCTAGATGCGCTTTCCTTATACGTGTATGGTATTTTCTTTCTCCACTGCTCGTTTGTGGCACGGTAGGCTCTACTTACCTCGCAGGTGGACGTATAAAGTGGGGAAAATTAATTGAATAAGGCTGCAAATAGCACCACAGTTCAACCCTCATGACTGGCTCATTCAGGATTACATGATGCAGGCGCAGAAAACCGTACCTTACTGAAAAAACCACACTCAAAGCCCTTAAACTCCACGCTCCACATCTCGACCCGACGCCCTTAGATCCTCAAACCTCCCAACCTTTCAAGCCCTGTCCTGAAGCCCAAGTATCCTCATGAATCCAGCAGAAGCCCCCGGATCATTCTACAAGACCGTTGAACGCAAAGACGAAATAGAAGCCTCCATCCCTAGGGCCTGATGCTTTGGGTTTCGGTGTTAGGATGAAGGGTTTGCATCCCTCGTTTAACGAGAAGGCCCTGCTGTTGAGGAATGTTTGCTGGCACAGAATCCAAGCCCATCCTGAAAAGGGTGTAGGTTTAAAGTTTCTGACGCAGGTGTAAGGGAGCAGGGAACTCGGCAAAGGTTTTGGGATGCTGGACCTAAACAATAACCAGAATTATAGTCAGGAATAGAACAATAGTAGGCATAAGATCACTACCTAGAGGCTCCATAGTAGTTCCTTTTTGGGGTTCATATTTAGAATCCTATAAGCGAATCCCAGTCAGGAACTACTATGGAGCCTCTGGGTAATATTCTTCGCTTGCCAGGATTGAATGCGGCCTTGAATGTCTGTTCAGGCCGGAGTTTCATGCTTCAAAGGGGAAAAGGAGGGACCCTTAATGGGGACCCCTACCCTATACTGGGCTATATAATGGGCATATAATAGCTATATTAAGGGTATATACCCAGGGGTCCTTACTAAGGGTCCCTCCTTTTACCATTGGAATGCCGGATTGAGAGTTTCACGAGGGGTGTTTGCTCACAATCCAAGCCCATGCTGACAAGGGTTTAGGGTTCAAGGTTTAGGGTTTGCAACGAGGCCTGTTGCAAGAAAGGGTTTGTTGGAAACTGTTTAGGGCTCAGGTCACAAGTTTTGTCGGCATTTGTGCGGGGTTATTGGGGGGGGGGGTTTCGCTTTTTGTGAAAGGAACACAACTCCGGAAGCATTCAAGCCCCCCCACCAAAACAAACTTGGCTTTGCAGTTTTGTTTGTGCATTTGTACGCGCCGCGGAAACACATTCCTTTCTGGACTTTCCTTTCTGCACTTCTCCAGGATTCCCCTGGCTAGAAATCGATATCTGAAAGAGCCCTGCACGTGAGCAAAAGCCTGGAAAACCAAATAAAGCTGGGAAACCCTAAACCCTAAACCCTAAACCCTAACCCTAAACCCTAAACCCTAAACCCTAAACCCTAAACCCTAAACCCTAAACCCTAACCCTTAACCCTAAACCCTAACCCTTAACCCTAAACCCTAAACCCTAAACCGCTCTGATGCACCTGAGGCCCTGAGCCATAAGCGCTGGAGCAATCAATCCGAGCCTACAAAAACAGGCGCTGCTCCACTTCCAGTCATGAAAGAGCTGCTTCGCAGGACCTGGGATCTACCACAGCAAACCCCAAACCCTGAAAAAGCCTAGGAAGGGATTCGGCACGACAGAAATCCTGTGCAGAGTTGCGACTGCAAGACCCTACACCGCAACTTGAATCCCTAAAATCCGAACTCCGGACCCGCACCCAAGGCAGCCACCGGGTTAAGGCAGGGCTCCCTATAACGCTGGGTTTGCAAGGTTTTAAAAATCACTTTTGGGTGCTCTTTTTTTATCTGTTTTGGAAATTAGGACTGCCAAAGAGGCAAAAGATTGACCGACGGAGACAGAGAGAGAAAAAATAGAGAGAGACAGATAGGTGGAGAGAGACCGAAAGAGAAAGAGAAAGAGACAGAGGGAGAGAGTAAGAAGAGTTAGAGAGACAAGAGAATAAATAGATATGAAGACATGCTGTTGAGACCCGTGACAGCAGTGCTTCTAGTCGTTGTTGATGGGCAATAAACCGGAGAAGGGGGGGCGGGGGGGGAGGGGGCGGGGGGGCAGGGGGGCAGGACGGCCAGAAAATTGTTTCCCTGCGCCTGTAGAAGGTGTTAGGGGGATTTTAGTTGGGTTTTTAATGTTGAGTCGTGTGTTGCGCCTGTAGAAGGTGCTAGGGGGTCTTAGTCGTAGTTAGGACTTTAGGTTGCGCCTGCAGAAGGTGTTAGGGGGTTCTTAGTCGTAGTCGTATCGGGTTTTTAATCTTGAGTCGTGTGTTGCGCCTGTAGAAGGTGCTAGGGGGTCTTAGTCGTAGTTAGGACTTTAGGTTGCGCCTGCAGAAGGTGTTAGGGGGTTCTTAGTCGTAGTCGTATCGGGTTTTTAATCTTGAGTCGTGTGTTGCGCCTGTAGAAGGTGCTAGGGGGTCTTAGTCGTAGTTAGGACTTTAGGTTGCGCCTGCAGAAGGTGTTAGGGGGATTTCTAAATTAAGTCGTTGGATCTTAGGTTGCGCAGAAGGTGTTAAGGGGGATTTTAGTGGTAGTTCCTTTGGGTTTTCAAGTCCCTTAGGACCTTGGGTTGCGCCTGCAGAAGGTGCTAGTCTTAACTAACTGGTCCTTAGGACCTTAATGTAGTGTAAATTGCCTGCCCGGACCCTAAACCCAAAACATCACAAAGCCCTAAGCCTTAAGCCCTGCAATCGTAGAGCCACATAGACCCGGAACCTCGAGTCGAGGGGGTTGTGGGACCGGGAGTCGTGAGCCTTCGACGTGAACGACTTCTGCCAGTCTGCCAGCGCCTCACAGTCACAGTGTTCGCTTTGTGGGCATTCCGGATTTCAGATTCATGACGGGTTGTTTGGGTGCCCTGCTGATCAGTAGGTTTCCAAAGTCGGTGCTGCTGATTCTGCGCATCTCGACTCAGGCGACAGTGCTTGGTTAGAAAAGCTTAAAGAGCCCCAAAACGTCCTTGAACCTTTACACCAAGAGCCTTACATCCTAATGGGAACAACTGCCAAAACCTAAAATCCCTGAAACCCGATGCCCTTTTCAAGCCCCAATAAAATGCCATAAAACCCCCAACACTTAAAGCCCCCTAAACCTTTATCTAAACCTAGAACGCTGAAGCTTTAACCAAGCGCCAACACTTTAGATCCCTTAGCATTGATTCATAAACCCTCCCATGAGGCTGTTGCTATCTCCTCTTCTGGCCACAGCCCGAGTCGCCGGTGCGCACGGTTTTGAGATTTCAGGGGTTTAGTCATTAGTTCATCAGAACCCGACCGTTAGGTCGATTTCGTCCGTTAGGACGCACACGACCGTTAGGTCGCACTCGACCGTTAGGTCGATTTCGTCCGTTAGGACGCACACGACCGTTAGGTCGCACCCGACCGTTAGGTCGCACTCGACCGTTAGGTCGACTTCGTCCGTTAGGACGTCCCACCTTTACCACACCTACCACACCCACCACACCCACCACACCCACCACACCCCACATCCACCCACACCCGCAACACCAACAAGAACAGCAACACCACCAACTCCTCCACTACCAAAAACACGACCATCACGTCACCAGCACCACCCAAACGTAGCTAGTTCCCAACACTGAAACCGTAAACTCGAAATCGTAACACTGGAGTGCCGAGGCCCGACCCGTCGTGGCTTTTCCATGCCTTCGCAGAGGAGACGGGGACGGCGGGGTGTGGGGGTAGTAGGGCTAGTAGGGCTGGAAGGACTGGTAGGGGTGGTAAAATAGGGTCGTACGGGTTGCAGGGGTCAGAGGTAGGGGATCAGGTAATGCAGCTTGGGACGGGTTTGGAGAGGAGTTGGCATAAGTGCAGGTGAAGGTCGGAGATCAGGAGTAGTAGCAGTCGTCGGAGTCGTCACCGTGCGCTTTTTGTGGTTTCGTCTCTCATATAACCCTGAACCCCTAACCTTAACACCCGGGCCCTGAACCTAAACACCCTACCTGCGATTCCGTATTGCCATTCCGGCTCCAGTCGCATGCCCCGCACGCGGTGTTGAGAGTCGGCAGTCATGGCGCCGAAATTTGACCAGAAAGGCTGGAATGCAGTATACTGGAGGAACCTGGCCCGCATGGAGGACGCCTCTTGGATTGTCTAGTTAAGATTGTGTTTTGCTTTTTAATTTTGCCAACTAAAACAATCCTGAACCCTTGCCCTAACATGTCGTCCTAATATAACATGGGCTTGTGTTTCTTGGTGCCCTGCAGTCGGCTAAAGGTTTTTACTCAGGTTTGGGGGATACAGCTCCTAAGCCCCAAACCGTTTTTGTTTTTGTGATCTTCAAACCCTGTAACCTCAACATCCTAAACCCTAAACTTTCCAGCCCTGCAAGCTAAAATTTGAATCTTCTTCTCAGGTGGACAGGGCGAACGCCCGGTGGCGATCTGAGCACCCTAACCATCCTCCACCCGACAGTTCGACCAAGCCGAGTAACTGGCCAATGTGCTACTCCTTTTACAGAGCCCGGGCAGATCAAAGAGCAGCGCAGCAACAGTCGCCCAAGCTTGCCCCGGCACAGTCGACACAACCCCAGAATGCCCAACAGCAGTCGACACCAGCCGACTGGTCCAGAGCAGTCGCCGGTGGCTGGACCCGCCAAGACCTTGTCTCCCCTGCCCCCCTCACCAGCTGGACCCCCTCAAGTCCTCTCGCCCAATATTGCCCTAGGGCACGCGACAGCAGCCAAGTCTCCCATCCCACCACAGTCGACACCAGGACCCAAGACCATGCACCCGCCCAAGACTGCCCCATTGCGGTCGACAGCAGGCAAGGCGACGCCAGACAAGGCTCGAACCCCTCCCAAGACTGCCCCACCGACAACAGCCCAGCCTCCCAAGCTGCCGCAGTCGACACCAGGACCCAAAGCCCAGTCGACAGCGACACCAGGCAAGGCTGCACCAAAAGAGTCGATGCCCGTGAGGCTGCCCCCAGGCCCGGCCGGGAAATTTAGGCATAAAGCTTTGTGCCCTATCAATCCGTTATTTATAATAGTGTTTCTTTTGTTAGGCTATGCAAACGCCCACAGGTCCCGCACAGCCTTTCACGCCTCGTGCTGCTGTGCCGCCGCCGATGGTGGTCCACAACCACCCTCAGTCGTCCGAAGCCCAGGATCGGCTCGTCGACGCTTGCCGTCGCATGTTGTCTCTTCGATGAATTACACCGTAGACAGAGCCATGAAACTCTTGTTTTTCATATAAGAAACCTTGTGGTTCTGTTCTTGTTAATGTCAAGCTTTCACTCCAGGGAGCTGGGACACCAGCGGTTGGACGAAGCCGGTCGTACAAACCACGAGAATGAGCAACTTCGAGTTGAGGCTTGGCGGCGCAATGCTGTCTTGAACCAGAAGGTCAAGGAGCTTGAGGACGATCCATGGCATGCAAAAAAAACCCCAAACCCTAAACCGCTATTTCATTTAATTACTACAATACCTAACACCCTGACCCTGAACCATAGTCCCAGGAAAAGCGGCGGTTCAAGGAGGAGAAGGAGAAGTCGGAGTCGTCAAAACTGCCGGCTGCTGACTCGTCTTCTGATCGAAAGCGCAGGCCCTCGTCGTCGCCGCAGTCGTCTTCAAGCTCGGCTTCTGACTCTGAGTCTGCGTCGACGAAGGCCAAGAAGAAGAAAAAGAAGGAGCAGCAATCCAAGAAGGACAAGAAGAAGGGCAAGAATAAGGACCATGATAACAGCAAGAAGCCACAGAGGTCGGTCAAAAAGACCAAGGCCCCTGGACGATCATCTGGAGCCCGGCACTAGTCCATGTTGACATCTAAATCTAAATCTCTAGACAACGACTCAGAGAGTCTTGGCATGACAGTGCAAATGTTAGCATGTTCTGATTGATCTGGTGGCTCCAGTCGGTTCGTCGTCAGTCGATTCTTTATCATCGGTGACTTCCAGCCAAAGGTTCACTTTTGAAGTCGGATCAGAACATCGAGATCTGTGCAGAGAGAAACAGCTCAGATGCCAGTCGAAGTATAAACAAACATAAAAGGTGTTGAATATTAGAACTTTAAAGTTTAAACACCTATACCCTACACCCTAAACCATTGCAGGTTGCAACTGGCCCATCAATCAATGAGCCCTGAGATCGTCGAAACTCCTTGAGCCCTGCGAGATCCCCATCGAACGCAAGACCTTTTTTCATTTCAGTATAAACCCTTACCTTGAACGCCTTTCAAACCTGAAGCCCAAATCCTACACTTCTACCCTTCCCGAACCTTTCATGGCAAAGTTACACGTAGCTGCTTTGATCCTTGAAGCCGATCAGCTCCAGGAGCCTTGCAGTCGAGCCGCCGGCTTCGACACGAGTTGCCAGGGGCCGAGAGTGCTGTGCACACGGCTGCTTGAGTTCTTTTCGGATTTGTCTTTGACTGGCAGTGTGGTGGACGGCCAGTCGATACATCTCGAGAAGGCATCCCCGGTTGAGCCTGTTGTCAACAGTTGACGCTGGTTGCGGCTCCCTTTGATTTATAGTTGGAACATCAGATCAAACCGGCATGTCGGCCAGGTCAAGCTGCTCGTCGAGTCGTGGACAACATGTTTGTA